TTTGCATTATTACTGTAATATTTGCCGCTGGACATGAAGCTTTAAAATAAAAATGTTTTTGAATACCTTTAAAGATTAGAAAAAATGTATACCGGAATAAATTTAGAAAGTTAGTTAACTATATGCAGTAAAAGAAATAAGACGGTGAACACTTTTATTTTGGGACTGTACGGACAAAGCAATATAGGTTGGGTCTGCGTTAAAAGCAGTTTGTTCATTACAATTTAAGTGTGGCGACCTTATCGTCAAGTCTTTATATTTTGTTTTTTTTATATTTCAAACATTTAGTCACCAAAAATCAATAAATCAATCATTATTTATTTCAGACGTTACCTACAAAGATCATTTTTTTTTTGTTTAACAAGAATATATTACCAAGAAAGGAAAAATAGGCCACCGAACGAGAAATGACTTCATGCGGTCTATCACGAATCCAAACAAATATTCCTGTGCTGTCTCAAAACTTCAAAGAAATTATCAGAATTACTCCAATAAGAAGTCTGAGTATCCTATCGTTAGTTAGCCTGGACCACTGTTTTTTTTGTTTTTTTTTTGTTTTTTTTTAGACATACGGAAGAGGGTACCAATCCGTAACAAAATTATAACAAAACAAAATACACCAGTTACAATTCTGCTTCTATTGGTATTAAAATCAAACAAGAAATGACCCCACAATATTTTTTTGAAAAACCGAAGAAACACAAAATGGAGCACTCTAACATTTATCTCAGAATAATTCGATACTATGTCACTCAACCTCAGCTTTCAACTTTATCCACAGGTGTCTTCTATTCCGTCCGCAATTTTGGGGGAAAGTAAATTCTAAATTTAGAATCATGGTAACTACACATGTATAATAGAAAAAGAACATGTTATTTCTTCATTATCAAATTCTAACTTCGAAGGGATAGCGAAATTTGTTTTCTTTTGTTGTGCTTTTATATTGTTATAAGAAAACTAGTCGGTGTGGCATTATCAAATAAGCAGATCCAATGGCACTGATCCATTATAGACCTATTCACAAACAAAAGTGAAGCGGAATAGGTCATGCAAATCCAATCTTTCGTTATACCAATTACAAATATAAATCAACATGTGTTTAAAGAAATATTTGATCTTTTTCGTGGATTTTTGCAATAACAAATAAGAAGCAGCAGATGTTTTTCAATCCTTTTCACGATCATCAAAATGCGGTACCCGATCTTTCACCATCCAAAATATCAATTTCTTACAAATGTTTCCATTTTGGCAAAGTTTCTGATTAAACTAAAACAAAATAACATTAAGAACTATTTAAAATTGTAATATTGAACGATATTTTTAAGAGAAAAGTAGTTTATGCATTAAAAATTTGAAAAAAATCATGTTTATTTACATTTTCATTTCTTTGAAATTTCGATGAGCAATCTGCCTTTTGTAATGTTGTAAAAACGGAGCACTTTTAAACCTTGATTTTACTCGGATACTGATCATGATGTTGAACCATTTTGAAAAACAGTTTTATTTTTCCAATATTTGTCATTGTAATTGATTAAATTGGATTATTTACTGACATTGCATGTGTCTTCTCGATAAGATTTCCTTCACGATCCTATACCAGATCATTCACGATTCAAACGCAATACTTGATCACGTTACTTATTCTTTCACGATAATTTTTCTCGATATACCGAATGACAACCGTGTCAAAGATCTATCATCCACACCACATCTGTCAACATTAAGATATAACAAAGATAAATCACTAAAAAGTTTGTTGACCTTAAATTGTACAGGTACTAATATATTAACACCATTATGGGGTGCTTGAGCTAGTAGTTCTCCATATATTTTCCCCGTTTTATCGATGGAATAACAAAAGGTCAATAAAATTTCGAGAATCGATCTTACCATACCTTCTCCTTTTGCCGAGCCTTTTTTTTTCTTCTCAAAATTGAAACAGAAGCAAACTACACTCCAAAAACACATTCATTCATTATATACATTGTATTTAGGTATATTTGTTAAAAGTGAAATATATTATTTGAATTCTTTTATGTTCAATTTCCACCAATTTCCGATAAAGACTCTATGAATGAGACATAGATATATTATGGATGGTAAAAAGCTAATTATATCGATTGATTAATATTATATATATAAGATAACGTAACTTTTCTGAGGGAACACAACCATACAAACAAACAACCAAAGTAAATTAATTTAATATCCCCCGAAAAAAATTGATCCATATAAAAACCGGAACACCTACAAGTTTTTGGCGAAATATGGAAAAGATAAAATCGCAAGTGATTGAGAAATTTACCCCTTTCAAGTGTTTATGCATTCCACAAGCGAGAAAAGTTAAACTTCTAAAGATGTAGTGACTTTTTCTTCAGTCCAGGTTTTGTAACTGCAATACATTTTTTCAGGGAAAAGGACCTGAATGGAGGAAACTACATCTCAAGATAATCAGTTATTAGACGGCAAGTTTTTTTTGTTGCTTTTGCAATTGTTGTTTTTATATAAATAACTCATTTTCGAATAATAAAAAAATTCCGGGATCAAAAATATAAGTATTGTTCGTCTTGCTCCAGAGATTGATGCAAACAGTTTCTTGATTATTTGTTTCATTCGTAATATGGGTGTACCTTAACCTTACCAATTACGGAAAATGGTTTCATTGAAACAATAACACTCACCTTTTTGTTTATTTTTCTAACCAATCGATATAATTAACTTTTTGTCATCCATAATATTCATATTTAAGAAAGAAATTTCAGTTTTTTTTTTTTTTTTTTTTTTTTTAAATAGATACTTGTTTATTCCAAAATTTTCCTGTTTACATTTTTCTCAGTTGCCCAGGATGCAAACTGGGGATTCCCGTTTACATTTACATTTCAGTTTTAGTAATCACTGGAATGAGTTCAGAGTGACTGATGAATTATTGTGATTTGCTGAGTGTGATGTGACAAATACACCATTGAAAAAATCAGGTTTTGCAAAGAAATTCGACCGGAATGAATAGCAGATATTTTAACCGTCATCCGACAAGTATTATGGGTAGTGCCCTCACAAAGGTTTGTTTAAGTCCAAGCACTGTCTTAAGCCGACCGGTATATCAAGTTAAAAGTTTCCATGTTAACCGGTTCATGACAAATCAAGTTTATCGTGTAAAGGACAATTCCCCTTTATGAAGAATTGGATGGGGTTATATAGAATAGAGAATAATGTGCAAAAAGTGCAGAATAAAGGGCCAAAAAAATTAAGAATAGAGAAAAATAGGTAAAAAAAATGAGAAAGGAGAAAAAAATAGTGAAATTACTGACATGTCCTAAAATTCAGCAGTAAGCCTTAAGAAGTTGAGTTTAATTTGACAGCTGTCTATTGCTTACCGAATTTATTGCTAATTCTTTTAGCGTGGAGGACAGCAAATTTAGCGTGGCGCATGAAAATCCAAGGTGGCAGAGGGAAATTCAAGCGTGGCATCAATAGATCATGTCATCTCTGACATATGTGTTGATATGGATGGCCATGCATGCCAATATTCAAAATATGAATAAAAGGAGATGTTGGGTATATATATAACAAAGTGACAGCAGCCCCAAAACACAAACAAATAAAATGGTATATGGACTAGACAGTTTTGCCTTTAAAGTTTAAAGGACCCTCTGTCGAACGGTTTTGTTATCGGAAGATATCACTCATAGATATTGTATTCCGACATTCAGTAGTCATACAAATAAAAACAGGTATTATGCTGTTGGTTCCCAGCAAACACAAAAACATCTTTAAAATGTTTTTAAAATGTTGTGTCTAATGTCATGAAAATATCACAAAAAAACGTGAGAAAAACATTAAATGTATGGTAGAATATATATCGGTAAAACGTTTTCTAATATATTTTCTAAAATATTTGCATAATATAATTAAAATGTTGTAAAGAAATATCATGATAATGTGAAAAACAATGGTGTATAAAACATTTTGATAATCTTTTAAAAAATATTTTCTAGAAATATTTTCTGAACGTTTGAAAAACATCATGAACATCAAATAATGTTATAAAAATGTTTTTTGGATGTTTTCTTGCAAGTGAGACTGTGCCTAAAAAATGTTTTCAAAATGTTTTAAGAAGATGTTTTTGGTTGATATCTAGATCATGTCAATATAAAAATTTCTGTACTTTTGATTGAGTTTCCTGCTTTTTTAAATCATTAGTTAAATTAATTTATACACAATGATTAATTCTATATACAAACAAGAATAAATCAGTTGTTTTGCTAAGCATATGAAATTCAATTCAAAGTCTCTAAAAACAAGAAGTATCTACAAATTTTGACACATCCAAAATGGCAGACACAACTCATCATGGTCAAGCCACTTACCAAATATGAAGTCATTCTGTTCATCAGCATTACTAATTAAAGTAATGAAAAATTTGAGAACATTCAACATTTTGAAATACAATGTATAAGCAAACAGGAAACAGGTGCCAGATACAAAAATGTTCACACATCACAGTTCATCACTATCAAGCAGCTCATTAAATATGAACTCATCTTTATCAGCAGTTTTGGGAAAAACAGTGATGAAAATATTTGTTGGACAAAATCCGACAAATATAGGTGGACAGACGACAGACAATACAAGAATACCCACATTCCATCCACAATGGTATAATGTTTAGTTTTTCATTCTAAACTTTTATTAACTATCTTATACACATCATGCATATGTCAACCTGAACATGCATGACATATATGCCATTGGACATTATGCAAACATTATACACATTTTTAAGTTCAAGTTACATTGACTAAAACTTGTGTCCCAAATTCAGATTTTTCAATACAACTTCTCTTTCTAAACTAAAACACTACACTTCTAATAGGGTTACATCTTAAGTCAATAATCATTGATAATTGGCTGAAGAGATGAGAACAAAACACCATTCTACATCAACTATTTGATTTATTTAAGAATACATTGAAAAATTCAATCAAATGTCTTATTCAAAATCTTGGAATGTCTTGTAGTGTCTTATATCTTTTTCTTGCTGTGCCATGCTTCTGAAAAAAAAATTAATCTTACATTCATATATAAATTTCTTGCACATTCCTTTATTATAGAACTATTCATGTTGCCTGAAGGATATACATCCCCTCCCCTTTAAAGTTTTGAAACAAATAACGATGATAGTCTGTCGGAAGGGGACGATAAATGGCTGACCGTGTTAAGAAAGAGCAATATGCCACGCTGACCTTCATTTAGTTATTAAAAAAAAAACACATAAAAAACTTTAGACTAGATATGTGTCCAGTCAAGAGTCTTATTTCATTATACTTATATAGATTGTTGTCTATCATATTTTTTTTTCTTTTATTGTTTTGTATAAATCAGGCTGTTGTTTTTCTTGTTTCATTAAATGCATTGTATCATGTAGGGGCCTTTAAAAGCCCTGCTACATAATGTCATTAAACATCTTATTGTCCTTTTAAGTGTTAAACTCTGTAGAGTGACATAGTTTATAACTTGTCATTTGTATCTAAGGGCATATGATACAGTCCTAGAAGTATACTATAGGCACATAATAACTTATCGAAGTGTCACGCATTGTTTTCGCAATGATGATAATAATATAACTTAACTTCCGAGAAACACACAGATGTCATTAAATGAGTTGTTTATATGTATTTGAAATACTTCAAAGGCAAGCAAATATGTTGTTTATGAAAGCACACTGTTGGACTAAAAGATTGATTTAAATAAACAACTTGTTTCTATTTTGTCACAAAAAAAATAATTTATTCAAATATCCAGATATCTTTTCTGTATTGTATGCCCTTAATCTTGAATGTAATGCATTGTTTATGCTAAATATTTGATTTAAATATGGAATAACAGTAATTCTGTATGAAAATCTTACTTCAAAAAAAATTCTCCTGAAAGGTTGTAGACATTCCAAAGAACCTGCGCCACTTCCAAATTGTAAACCTGCATATTGAACTTGTCCTTTGTGGCTTTTCTTTTAGCTCTTGTTAAAAAATAAAAGATACATTGTATGTACATTGTGTGTATGAAGCAATAAATATAATTTTAAGCAACAGTTTATATTATCTTGCTTGTACTGAAGTCTTACATAGTCTTTGTAATGTTCATTAAGCTGTTAAGGGAAGTTTAATTTACTGTTTTACAAATACATACATACACTGATTTTACTAGAAAAAAAAATCTCCATATTCAAACTGTGCTTATATTAGTGTTATTGTAACTTGTTTGTGTGCCTCAAAAACAAGGTATTGAGTCATGCTTATTGCAATAGTTGTTGTTGGTTTAAGTCTGTCAAATTTCTTGTTCATAATGTGTATTTAATGTAGGCAGTTAGTTGTTGTTTCAATTGTGTTGAGAAAAATTTAACATTTGTTTGTCAAGGCTTCAAAGTGGACTATATGGCATTGGTTTTCTCAGTTTTAAAAGCCGTAGAGTGACCTATAATTTCTTTTATCCAAGTCATTTAAATTCTGGTGGATAGCTGTCTCATACACCTTATAGCTATTTCAGTATTTGGAAATCTGTCCCGCTTGAACTTTTTACGTCAGCATACGTCATACAATAATACACCTTATCGCTATTCCCGCTTGACCCGAGAATCTATCCTGCTTGAACTTTTGACGTCAAACAACAATCACTTTTCCATTGTGGCATCAGATATTTTTTATGATGACGTCAAAATTTTAAGGGAACTTGTGTCAGTTGTGTGATGTCCAGTAATGGCGGACAAATAGCAATAAGGTGTATTACTTTCAATTGTGGTGTCAAATATTTTCTAATATGACGTCAACATTTTACAGGAACTTTTGTGATGTCCATGGCCAGTAATGGTGGACAAATAGCGATAAGGTGTATTGGCAATCAAACACACAAGCCACATATTCTTATAATTTTTTTATATTAATGAACAAATTCATAATTGTTGTACGTAGATGCTTGAACAGTGGCGGATTTAGGGGCCCCGACCCCCTTATGGAGCTACTTATAAGATAAATGTATAGACTATTTACAAGTATCACTCCAATCGTTTGCTTGTCTTGGGCAGGTGCCCCCTTTTTTCAAAACCTTGATCCGCACCTCCAGAAACAGATGTAATTTGGTTCCGATTATGATTGAAGACACACAATGAATGCACAAGTTTCATCTTAACAGATTAAGCATTCTTACCAAGTGAGTATATATCGCGTAACAAACAATTTTCTTGGCTCTCTTTGTTGATATCCTGTCTGGTCCTGTCTCAACGACTCCTTCGTTTCGAAATTCAAATTTCAAAATCATTTCCGGTGATAAAACAAAAGTCGATTCGGGAAAAAGGTCGGTTTTCCGTAAGGCATATAAACGATACGAAAATTGAACTTAGTACAGTTACAGTTTTCATTTCTTAATTTCTAAAATATACACGAACAAAATGAATAAACATTACAGAAAGGTGATTGTTTATTAATACATTATTGCTTAATTTAATGTTGACTCTTTTGAATTTTAATATAAGAAGGAATAAAATCTGACTTCAAGGATCTTCAAGATATCAATTAAGGATTTCAACCATAGTATCTTGCTTGTCATGATATTGATGAAATGTAGTACTATATCTTATCCTGAAAAAAAAACGAGCTAATTCCACAAAACGTTGTTTGTGGGGTTTTGAATAAAGTTTAAATAAAATGTTATTTTTATATCCGTAAAATGTTGAATAAAATATCAGTAAGACTATTAAGTAATGTGTATGTCAGAATATTTTATAGAAAACATTTAGCTGATATTTTTAAGATGTTTTATGTAAAACATTTTAATTTTACGTTATAAAACATTTTATGCAAATAGCAAAACTATATTTTCTGTAAAACAATTTTTTGCAGAATGTTTTTTGGATATTTGGAAAATATCTACTTTAAATGTTGTTAAAATATAAAATACCAATTGAAGAAAATATTATTTTTTTATATTATAAAATATCTAGGGGATATTTGAGAACAATGTTTGAGAACATGAATAAAAGATATTAGCAAATAATATTTTGTTAATGTTGTAAAAACATTTTACTTAAATGTTAGAAATAACACATTTCAAAAACAATAAAATAAACATTTTTTTTATGTTTAAACGATATCTTATTGAAATATTGTGTGAGAGACTTCCATATGACATTTAAAAAATGTTTTTAAAATGTTGTGTGTTTGCTGGGTTGACACATTCTTTGAATTTACTTCAGTTGCCAGGTGCGGATCAAGGATTTTGAAAAAGGGGCCCCAACTAGGAACATGGAAAAACTCAATGCATTAACCATATTATGTTGCTCCATCAGAGAGGGGCGGGTCCCAACATGTAAACAGTTGTAATAAACATTTAACGACTGTTTTAAACTCGTAACAAATATTTTACAATTAACATTATTTTAATATAATATGAATGGCTTTATCATACAAAAAAGGTGGGAAATGATGTTATTTATTGATATTAAAATAACATTTAAACTAGTGCTAAATAATATCAAGTTCTGCTACATGAAGTATCATAATGCTATTGATTATCTTATAATGAGAAACATTACTCCACTGAGTGATTTGTATGACAGTAAAGGAAGAAATCAGTTTAATTGCACCTGGACAATTGATTGGATCCTGAAATCTACTTTTTTATAAACATAATAGTATAATATGTTAAAAGTGTGAATACTACTAGATGGACATTTCGGTTGAAATGTATGTTTTACTCATTTAATGTTTGAAAATTGTTATTGATTTTAAAAACTAGATTTTCACTCTGTGTGTATTTACAATGGCGTTTGGAAAAAGCTCTATACATGTTAAAGAAACATCTAAAGACACATTTGATGGAAACATGTTAACTCGGGGCAAGCGTTTTAGTATCTTCAGTGAAAATCTATCTACTAAACGAGGACAAAATTGTCAAATGTTAAAGATTATTGGGCTTGTTATAATCCCAATAATTGCAATGGTTATAGAAAATGCAATCAAGATATCAAAAGATGAAGAAAAATTGAGTGAAGAAAAGAAAGTACGCGGAAAGATATCGTTTAGTGTGGAGATTGGTCTCCTTGTTCACTATATTCAAATAGAAAGAGGAACTACTGCTCTATATATCAGTTCAGGAGGGAGTCCACTAGTTTTTACCAATCTACAAACAAATCGACTAAAGACGGATTCCTCTCTTGATTCTCTGAACGACTGGATAACTCTTTCATCTCCGTCTCAATTTTGGTCTCGTGGTGCGTATCGTGCCCATCTTCGGACTTTCAGAAACAGTCTTGACCCTATCAACACAACGATCAACGCAGCCATCAAATTTTACTCGAATGACAATGCACTTATAATTGGATGGGTAGGTTCTACTGTGAAGGAGTCGAACAGTGAAACATTGTGGCAGTCCCTGACTGCTTATCATATGTTGTTACTCAGCAAGGAAGAGGCAGGAATAGAAAGGGCCCTTGGAAGTACTTTCTATGCCAGAGGTAGTATATATATTACTTATTACGCATTTTCGAATAAAACAATCTCTTTAGGACATTTTTCTACCAAATTTGCCAAACGATCTAATAAATGCAGTGTGTATGTAAGCTTACGATTAGCCACATAATACACATTTGTAAATATTTCCTTCCCTCTTTAAATAAAAAGTGTTACGAAACAAGCTTAAACTATTTTCTTCAATTTTAACGTCTCTCATTTTTTACCTCGCCGATTAATAAGATTGATTATCAGAAAGTTGTAAAGCATAGCGTATCATGAACATGAGTTAGTAAAACAAATATATGTAGTATTGGTGTTAAACTTTGGTATGGTTTATATATCTTATTTTAATTTTGATGTGTTTGATTTTCTGTTTACTTGTGCTTCATCACGGCCTAATGTCAAATACAAATCGTGCAATCAAACTTTACTGTTTATAAAATCTAATAGTTATTTTGGGAAATTTTGGAGTAAGTGAAATTAAGAAGAAACATAAATGTGCTTTAAAAAACTGCATGTATATATATTAGGATTACATTTGATAGTAAAGAAGTGTTCTTGAAGCCCAAGTTCTGTTTGAAGGTTTTTTTTAAAACTGGTACAGTTATTATTTGTCTGTTTCCTGCGAACCAATAAATATTGTCGGTTAAGGGTTTTTGTGAACGAACACTTACAGGAAACGAAAACCTTTCATAGTATACACATATGTAGACTGCAGACAACTTTGGAAATAAAAGTTTGAGTCGTATATATTATCAAAGAACATAAGCGATATAATTAGCCCCAGCAGAGTAATCATATCCTGCTCATGTCATTGCACTATTGAATTAGTCATTATTTCATTACATTCCGCCTTCAAACAAATCCTGTTTAAAAACCTGACCTCTAAGGAAAATAGACGGCCATTATCTTTTAAATAAATCTGTAAGGATCAGTGAGATATATATATACAAGTAATAGCTTTTCTAAAAAGCTTGCCGTATTTTAGCTGCTTATACATGTATTGAGATCGGTGGTTTGTGGGTATAGGGGGTTTTTATTGGAATCTTGCACTCCAAGCATTAGAATATATAGTGTTTTTTTTTCTCCTGGTTTTTTATTTTAGTTGTAGTATTGCTGAATCAGGGTTATCATTGAAGGAGGCTTGATAGTCACATATGATAATATATATATATGGTTTGTAATAGCTAAAGTAACGATACAAACACTTTTTTGTTTGTTTTGTGGAATATGATTGTTTACTCTTTATGACAATGCAAGTAGTTTTAACATGCATACTGTGTCTTGACAGTTATGTAATAGTTAGCAAGGTTATAATCAAGTTGATTAGAAAAACGTATTATTTACTTTTGAGGATTACTGCTAGACAAAATGGACTACCAGTGGCAGATCTAGAAATTTTCATAAGAGGGGGGCCAGCTCCAGTCATGCTTCAGTGATTCACTACATGTATATGATCAATCAAAGTTTTCCCACGAAAGGGGGGGGGTCCCTGAAAAACTCTCTAAATCCGACTCTGACTACTATAGTTGGCCGTTCGAATATGAGGGGGGGGGGGGGGAGAATAGTAAATTTATTTCGCTTCTTTTGGTTAATAGTGATCTGATGTGTGAATGTGTATTGCCATGTTTTATGAACATGTAGTATGAATGACTTTTCTAATGCAAATTTTATAGAGTAAATAATCAAAACAACAACTTGTGCATCTTTATTAACAACATATACAGTAAAAAAAAAGTGAACTCGTGATACACACAGAAACGTAGACAAAGGAAATGAGAAGTGCCTTTTCCTATCATAAAAAAGTGCCCTGCCCTTCACTGGCACCCTGCCCCTTTCTATTTCTAGCTGGAGCACTTCAAGTGATGAACATCTCATCTGGCTTTTGTCTTAGAAGAAGCAATTAGTTTTGAAGGTACAGATTAAGTGTTGTTATTACTAATTTCCAGATGTAGTATAACTGTAAGAAGATGTTTTGTGGTAATGGATTTGGAATGAAATATTAATTGCAAATAATTTTCTAGAACATGTTGTCAGCTGGCTTCTTATATTTTTTATTATTTTGTTGCGGTTTGTAATCTTGACATTTTTTTTGTAAGTTCTATAGATGAGAGCTTCATATTGGTATTATCATTTAGTGCTTTATATTTGGTTGCATGTGTAAGCATATGCTTTTGTTAGTTGGAATATTTATATTTTCATTTCTGATGGCAACAAGTTCATGTAATACATACAGTATAGTCAGGATTATTAGTAAGCGATTGTTGTTTTGTTTGTTTATGTTTATTGTCATGATAGATATGGACTATATAACTTGCTGTTTGGTGTGAACCAAGGCTTCATGTTGAAGACCGTACTTCAACCTATAATGGTTTACTTTTACAAATTGTGACTTGGATGGAGAGTTGTCTTTGGTACTGATATGACATTCTGTTATATCTATCGACAAGATTGAGAACACATTTTTTTGTAATAAAACATATTTAATTCTATGATATCATATTTAACAATTTATCGGTAATTTGTGCATTTTTCCTTTGATGTGTACTCTCTGATAATGTCAGTATCAGTTGACTGGTCGTGATATATAAATTATTGGGTCAGTTCGCAATTGACATGCTCAGGTGCACTGTGTCAGGATCTTCTTTCCCCTTTCATTCACAAAATCATGCATGATTTTTTTTTTTTGCAGAATCACAAGAGTGTATTGGTGAATGAAATACTTCTCATATTGTTTGAAAGTTTCAGTAAAGTTAGT